ATATTTGGTCAATGAACCTTTAATGGAGAGTACTCAAATTCAAGGAATTTAGAATTGTGTATTATTTGCATCTCCAACTAGTCAGCTTTAAGATTTGATATATCCATATTAAATAGAAAGAATAAGGAATGCATGCATACTGTTGAATCCTGTTAGGATGTAAGGTTCATATCATCTGTAGGCCCATACAACCCAGGAGAAACTTATATAAGTGAAAGGAGATGAAGAAGGTGCTCTCCAACTAGGAATTCTCCATATCCCAAATGATTTTCCCTCAAGTTCGAAGGTGGAGATGATCTAATCTTTTCTTGAAAAAGAGAGAGAGAGAGAGAGAGAGAGAGAGAGATCACCCGATTGATCCTCCTAAGAAGATCTCCCCCTTTCTCATTATATAAAGAGAAAAGAATATAAAATCATGAACTGTAAAGTCTAAAATCTATTTGCAATGTCTTGCTGAAAACATCTTGATGCAGATCTCAGAAGATTTCATAAATGATGATGGTTTATGTGTCAATTCCTTCAATGATGATCCTTGTTTCGGCTATTTGTCAATCTTGATGACCATTGGCTGAGGTGAACTCCGCAAACAAGTTAAAGGAGAATCACAACTCTTGAGAAAGTAATGTTAGCACTTCAATCTCGCAAGTCAATCCATTAAGTTGATCCAACATATAAGTTTAATGGATCTGGCGAGATAAGTAATAGTTCTCATTATTGGTTCTGAACCATATGGTCCTTCAGATATTCGTTAGTCGAGAATTGTTCCAAGAAAACTCATATATTCTATCATGGGCCCATCGAGCCAAGTATCCCTAAACACATACATACCACTTAATTCTTATGTATTTACATATCTAACACCAAAACCTCAATTTTTACATATATGTCATTCTACTTATACATGAAAAGGTATATTTCAATTTTTAAAGGTTAAAATAGCTGTTTTTTTTATGTGATAAGAAAGATTTGGGTGGTATAAATGTAGATAGTAAATATTTTTGTGTTATATATGTAAATAAACAGGAATTGGTGGTACATATGTATATTCCCTATAAAATAAACTCAATAACGTTGTAAATATCATTGCACACCATGATTATAGCTATAAATGATATATTCCATCCCATAATTTGGAGGAAATATATTCAAATATAAAATTATTTTCTTGGATCGACAGGAATATGCTATATATAAGACGAATAAAAAATAGTTAAAAATTATCATTTAAATATTTTTAAAAAATGTCTTATAATACAACGGAGGAATTATTTAAATTCAAAGTCCATGCATTAAAACCTCCATACGTCCAATCATTCCAAAGGACTGGACTTCATGACCCCTTTTTTTTTTTTTTTTTTTTTTTTTTTTTTTTTTTTGGGGTAATTAATGGCTTGATCCATCCTCATGTACCTAACTATTCGAGGACCGCCCTTACTATCGAGAAACTGGTCAGAAGATGATTCTAACCCGTGACCTGAGGAAGCTTTCGACCTTCAAAAATGCTAGTCTACCAACAGGTCACGACTGGCGACACAACTGTGCTTCATAATTTAAATCAATATCTATTAGAATAAAATTATTTGATTTATTTTGAGCAAAATATAATATGTGAACAAACAATTAAATTTTTTATTATATTTGTTTCAAAACAAATTTAATGATTTAAATTTATTTACATATCCAACACCAAAACTTTTTTTATATTTATACCACCCAAATATTTCACGTCACATCAAAATTATCACCTCTTTGAGTTAGGTTAGGTGGCATGTTTGTAAAAATTAAAGTGTTAGTAACGTAAATACATAAGAATTGAGTGGTATGTATGTAAAATCTTCATTTAAATTTGTATATAAAAGCATAATCTCATCATAATATCTGGAAGGAGCATGGCAGTGAATGGGGGGATGGTATGAGGTCAAGCTTGTTTGGTTTAATTTGAAAATGAATATTTAATTTCTGTTGACTTTAAATTGTTTCAGAATCATTTTATTTCAAGGGGATTTGAAGCTTATATGTGACAGCCAGTCAAAATTGAAATTAATTTTGAATTAAATATGAGTTAAGAGTGGTGCTGTGAGGCCCCATTTGGTGTTCCAACTTGGAAATTTTGCACTGTAGTATACTGAAATTTATAATATTTCATTATTTGCTTGACTTTAATAAGAAATTAATATTAACTTTAAATTTTACAATTTTTTTTGGTCAAAAAATAATGTTTTAATTCGCATTTAAAATGAGTGAAAATAATATATTTTCTTTTTCGTTTACAAGGAATGGCCAGAGGTTACTATATGAGCCTCCAACCAGTGCTAGTGTGCCTAACAATTCGAGTACCACCTCTTTAAGTCTAACTGTGTCAGAGGGGTCAGAGGGGTCTTATACCGTGGATGTCAACCAACAGGCTGAGGTATGCGGTACACACACACACAGAGATATATGTATGTACGTGTAATTCTTCCTCTCTTTTTCTCTCAAAAACTAACTTATAAATTTAAAGAAAGATTACAAAGCCCAAGAGGCCATAACTAAGAAGACTTACTTATCAAAAATAATAAAAAAATAAATAAATAAGAAAAAAAAAGGTATTTCTGCTATAGATTTTTTATTTTTTTGAAATTATGAGATTTTTTAATTGAAATCTCTCCATGGCTTTGCTGTATTGGATTTGAAGCCCTCATGACACATTAAGAATTATAAATGTAGGAGGAAATGAGGAACTGCTGATGGTACAATTTTCTAGCACACCCACCAACCAACCTAAAAAATAATTAATTGTTAATAAATAAATAAATCAGCACACACACACATTAATAGCACATCCTACAAAGGAAGCTGATGATAGTCGTAATGTAGCTTTCACTACAACATTTAATAGTGCCTGTCAAGATGAGTAATAATGCTTCATAAATAGAAATGGACATTATTAAGCCCTAAATGCACTTTTCATACACAATTTAATGCCTCATGTGACATGTCCTATTTTTTTTCTCAAAATATGAAATAGTTTTATATTAACATTTTATTTATTTATAGTGAGAGAGAGAGAGAGAGAGAGAGAGAGGGAGGGAGAGAAGAGAGAGGGGGTAGAGAGCACCTAATTGACTTCCTGATTATCATTAGTAGAGCTAAATATGATTAGCTATATAGATATCATTATTGTTTGTAAGATATGAGATTGATAACACCTTGGCATAAATATCGTGCAATGAATGAAGGTTGGGGATTCTTCACTTTATTTTACATTGAACCAAAACAACTCCAAAGTACTATATATATATATATATATTGGGGCATTTATAAGATACAAACCACACATTCTTTTGTATTTATATTTCAAACACCTAAACTCATATTTACATACATGACAATCTAATGTTTAACATCACAAAAAAAAAATAAAATAAAATAAATCCACCATTGCAATATTTTTAAAATTGAAAGCTGCTTTTAAGGCATTTGTGTGCATACCACACAGTTCTTAAATATTTATATATCTAACACCAAAACATTCATATTTACATGCATGTTACTCAAATATTTAACATCATATAAAAGTTAACACTATCATTAACTTTTTAAATGTGAAATATACATTTTTTTTCATAGATTTCTACATTAAAGAGTTATAAGTGTAAATATTAAACTTTTGGTGTTAGATATGTAAATACATGAGAGTTGTGTGGTATGTGTGTAAATTACCCTACACTTTTGCATGCATAGGCTTATGAAACCAAGGGGTTGAAAGTGTAAATATTAACTTTGGGTGGCTATACATGCAAATACATAAAAATTGTGTCATGTATTTAAAATTCCCTTTTTTTGGGGTTTTAGGTGAATTTATTCAGAATTGACTTGTTTAAGTTTGATTTTATTTACTTTATTGGAATTTCTTATCAATATATATTGTGAATGATTGACATCATGAAGCCTTTGTCAAGAAATATTTTATCTATTAAATATTTAATTTGTCAATATATATCTTTTTATTTCTGAAATTCATTTTTTCAATATTTTTTTTAGTAATATATGTTAGAAAATTCATGTTTCAACTTTATACACAAATTACAAAAGAAAAGTACATAATAGCCAAGATCTTTTAAATTCATGATTTTTACATATGTAAAAATAAAGCGACGCATACCTGTATTCATGATGAACAAATTTGATCTTGAAGAGATGGAGTTTCTCTCTCTAATCCCTTAAAACTTTCTGTACTTTCTGATGGAGAGAAATGTACGAGGTGTGTTGGGTAGAGAGAGGACCCATTCTCAAATTCATGCTCTATTTATCCACCATCCATCAAGGGGGTTACTAACCAATAGGATTTATGATAATTTAATAAATTAATTGATTTTTATTAATAAAATCAATGACATAAGTTAGTAACATTTATTTATTTTAGGGTTATACAGTTACAAAAATAAATATCATAAGTTATCATAAATTATGACATAAGTTATGAGTTAAGAAAATAAATAACTTAAGTTATCAAAATAAATATCATAAGTTGTCATAATTTATGACATAAGTTATGAGTTATGAAAATTAATAACTTAAGTTATCAAAAATAAATCTCATAAGTTATTAAAATAAATGTGAGTCATAAATAAAAATATAACATTCTCCCACTTGGCTCACTTAATTTTAATAGTGCATTACATACTACAAGATAAATCCTTCTTTATATTGGTTAAATCATAAATTATTTAATAAGTATAAAATTAATATGAATCATGGCGGTTGTGCATCAATTTATCGACACAGTCCCTTCCATATATCACAATATCAATTACATACTTAGCATAATGAGAATTAACATCATGATCTCATAATGTCTATTAAAAGACAAATCTTGTTGAAACATCATGCAACATAAAGTGTACACTAACGATAAAAACAAGATTTATAAATATCAGAAACAAGAAAAATTGGGCCCAAAATGTCAAAATATAAAGAGCATAAAACTAATAAAGGGTTTTGGTAATGCCCATTCTCACGACATGTTCGTTAAATGTCTTCGGTGACAATCCTTTTGTCAAAGGATCTGCAATCATGAGATTGGTGATAATATGCTCAATTGACACCCTATGTTTCTGAACTTCTTCCTTAACGGCAAGATATTTTAATTCCATGTGTTTAGCACCTTTGGAATACTTGTCGTTTTTGGAAAAGAAGACTGCCGCGGAGTTATCACAATAAATTTTCAACGGCTTGGCAATACTGTCGACAATTCCAAGTCCTGAAATAAAATTCCGCAGCCATAAACCCTGAATTGTAGCTTCGAAGTAAGCCACAAATTCAGCTTTCATAGTGGAAGCAGCTGTGATAGTCTGCTTCGCACTTTTCCATGAGATTGCTCCTTCAGCCAAAAGGAACAAATAGCCAAATGTTGATTTTCTGGTATCA